ATCTGAAATTGATCAAACATGCAAACAAGATGATTGCTCATTACTGGTGATTGGAATGCAAAGGTGGGGAGCAAAGAGGAAGGATCAGTAATTGGAAAATATGACCTTGGTGATAGAAATGATACTGGAGAATGCGTGATAGAATTCAGTATAAGAGACAAGAATACACATGGACCTCACCAGATGGAATACATAGAAATCAAATTGACTACATCCGCAGAAAGAGACGATGGAAAAGCTCTATATCATCAGTCAAAACAAGGTCAAGGGTAGACTGTGGAACAGACCATCACTTTACTTACATGCAAATTCAAACTGAAGCTGAAGAAAATGAAAACAAGTCCACGAGAGCCAAAACATGACCTTAAATATATCCCAACCTGTATTTAGAGATCATCTGAAGAACAGATTTCATACATTAAACACTAAAAGACCAAAGACCAGAAGAATTTGGGGATGACATCAAGAACATCATACATGAAGAAAGCAAAAAGTCATTGAGAAGACAAGAAAGAAGGAAAAAGGTCAAAATGGATGTCAGTAGAGACACTGAAATTTGCTCTCCAGCATAGAGATGCTAAAGCAAATGGAAGAAATCAGGAGGTCCAAGAGATAAACAGAAAATTTCAAAGATCAGCTCGAGAAGATAAAGCCAAATATTACAACAAAATGTGCAAAGAACTTGAATCAGAAAACCGAAAAGGAAGAGCACGCTCAGCATTTCTCAAGTAGGGGGGAACTGAAGAAAAAATTCAAGCCTCGACTTTTGTTATTGAAAGATTCTCTGGGCAAATTATTGAATGATGCAGAAAGCATCGAGAGAAGATGGAAGGAATACCCAGAGTCATTGTACCAAAAGGAAATGGTTAATGTTCAGCCATTTCAAGAGGTACCATATCATCAAGAGCCAATGATACTGAGGGAGGAAGTCCAAAGTGCATTGAAGGAATTGGCAAAGAACAAGGCACCAGGGATTGATGGAATAAAAATTGAAATCTTTCAAGAAAGTGAGGCTGCACAGAAGGCACTCACTCATTTCTGCCAAGAAATTTGGAAGACAACTATCTGGCCGACTGATTGGAAGAGATCCGTATTTGTGCCCATTCCAAAGAGGTGACCCAACGGAATGCGGAAATCATGGGACAATCTCTTTGATATCCCATGCGAGTAAAATTTTAATAAAGGTAATACAGAAACGGCTGCAAGCATACATTGACAGAGAACTTCCAGAGGTTCAAGGCAGATTCAGAAGAGGCTATGGAATGAGGGATATCATTGTTGATGTCTGATGAATCTTGGCTGAAAGAAGAGAATATCAGAAAGATGTTTACCTGTGCTTTTATTGACTACTCAAAGGCTTTTGATTGTGTGGATCATGACAAGCTTTGGACAACACTGTGAAGTATGAGTCTTCCTGAACGCTTAATTGTGCTCATGAGAAATCTGTACCTGGACCAAGAGTCAGTTGTTTGAACAGAACATGGGAACACTGAATGTTTTCAAATTAAGAAAGATACTTATTCAACCTGTATGCTGAGCAAATAATATGAGAAGCTGGGTTCTATGAAGAAAAAGATGGCATCAGGATTGGAGGAAGACTCATTAACAACCTGTGATATGCAGATGATATAACCTTATATGCTGAAAGTGAAGACGACTTAAAACATTTACTGATGAAGATCAAAGAGCACAGCCTTTGG